TTATCAGGAAGTCCTGAATGTCGCTTACAAAGGCAATAATAATCTATTCTTTAAAATGAAACACTAAAGTTTAACTTTTCTCAGATACTGTAATTTCTATTTTAATTAGCAAATTATGCCCTAGATTCCAAGATTCTCAGTAGTAACAAGTAATCCAAAGGTGAACTGGTGCAGTGAAGACGCGGCGTTAGAAGGCAGCTGCCAGGGAAAGGAGCTGTCCTCTTCTCCCATGGCTGGGCCCTTCTCTCTCGCACCAGCACTCTTCTGTCACTGGGCTGGAGAGCTGAACTGACAGGGAGGAAAAAACGCGTTTATTTGTTTTGTTGGTTCGATTATAGCATTGTTTAGGTCAAGTGAGCACCACTGCTGCTGCTGGTGGGATCACTTGTGATGAAGACTAGCGGTGAGTTTAGCTCGGCTGTGGGGTGAGTTCGTGGCCTGCAGGTGCACAGTATGGCTGGTGAGCTGTGCTCTGAGCTGTTGGTGGTTTCCAAGGCCTGCAGCAGAGGAAACTGCTGCTTGCGGCTGGGCCTGTTGAATTCGGGGAAGGCAACTTGTTAGATACTGGGGAGGGCGAGAAAAGCTATTAAGGGCTCTTAAAATTGGGGTGATCCACAGTGCAAGGAAATGATGATCTTGGTTCAAAATGATGCCCAACTACAGCCTTCCTGGGCTGGTTTCTTTTTAAGCACTGCAACACCAGCCAAGTCTTAATTTCTGAGTATTTAAATTATTTAATAAGCCCTTTTTTAGTGATTCTTGTTTAAAATACTACATGCTAAGCACTAAAGTGCAGTTGCCATGTCCTACTGATGTTATTTTGACATTCTTTAAAATTATAGACAGAAATGCAAGGAGACTATTGAGTCATTGTGCTGCAGTGAAAGGGCTGCAAGGGACACCCAGACTCTGGGGGTTTCATTTATTTTTCCAGAATAAATGCTGATGCATATTGTTCAGCTAATGCCGACATCTCTGTATCCTGTTCTGCAGAAAACAGAAGGGAGAATAAAACATTTAATTGTTAGTCTGAACTTTTTTGTGTTTTATATTAAAAAATGAATTTGGAAATGTTCTCTATAACTTAGTGATGTCAGTACATCAATCCTTTAGCATTATAAGCCATGTACCCTGTTCTGGTTAGGCTGGAAAATAATCTCCCTATGAAGAATGATAACAAATTGCAATATACAGAAAAATCCCATTTTAAGATTTGATTACTAAATAGCTTTTTGAAAAATGGAATTGGTTTAAGGCACATTTTAGAAGTGAAAAGCATTATTACAAGAAATCTTTCAGCAATTATAAATTTGATTTAAGATTGCTGGCAATGTTCTGTGTGTGTCACAGCTCCATTCCTGCCTTTTGGAGTAAGTAGGCAAGCCTCTGTTCCCAGATTTCCCAAAGAATTCACAGACATTGCTCAGCTTAGTGTGGTGAGTGCTGTTGTCCTTGTGGTGTTTATGTGGGAGCTCTTTCCGTTGATATACAGAGGTTGGTGAAAGAAGTGATTTATTCTTTTTTTTTCTCTGACAGAGGATTGAGCATCCTATTCCATGAAAGATCACAGGCTGCTGGAGGCCTCTGTCCTCCTGGAACAAAGGAAGCCCTGAAATGAATACAATTTAGGTATTTGGAATATGCCTTTATGGGAAGCTCTAAGCTACTAATGCTGTTCAGCACACTAGGGCTTTCTGGGTACATCAGCTGGCTGCTCTGCTCGTCACCATGATTGTCACTTCCCTGGTGCAAGAACACACGTGTACACACACAGAAAAGGCTTCTCTGTTTGGACAGAATATCACCTAGGTGACAGCAAAAATTTCTGCCTCCTGGCTGTGTACTGGTGTTAAAATACCTGTAGCTATGCCATGGTATATGCCCTTTGAACAGCACAGACTAGAGTTGTAACAAATTTGACACTGCTGGAGGTAGAATATAGTTTAGAAAGCATCATAAAGAGTCAATACAGAATGATTGATTGCCTCCCTTTTAGCAGGGCCTTGTCATGGGTTTGAGTATTTCAAGCCTCCTTCTGAAAAATCCTGGATCCTCTTGTGCATCTCTGCTTGTTAAGCTGAGAGGAACATTGAACTCTCTCTCTGCCCCTCTGATGCTGTTAGAGGGGAAAGTGGCAACACGGAGCCCCTCTAGTGTATGATAATTACATGACTTGGCTGCCAATGCCGAACCAGCTGTTCTTCAGAATAGTTTTACTCCAGCATTTTGTTGTCTCAAGGTGTATTGCCTCTTGGAAGGAGGCAGTATGTGCTAAGAACAGGTGGTGCAGAACCCACTGTGGAATAAGCTGTCCCATTACTTGATGTCATGAGTTTAACACTGCAACCTCCATCAATCTCAACAATTTTGCTTTGGTTATTCAGGTATTATGCTTAGTGGTGTGCATGTTTCAGTTCCCATATCTTAGTTGAATATCAACTGCAGTTACCAAGTTCCCTGTACATGCTGCTTCTAGCTGTGTGAATTGTAAAGGAAGTAGGAAGTCGTCTAAATGTACAGCATTTGAGCCGCAGTGATGTGCAGAGCAAAAAAACAGGATGTCTGGTACTATTGGTTCTGGAGATCTCTTGTTTCTTAGAAGTTATCCTGTCCTTAGTTAACTTACGTGGCTAATTTATACCCAAAACCTCTAATTGCAGAATCACTTGGTGTGTGTTGTGTTCTCTTCCTGTAGTTGTCACATAACTGTTCTCTTCCTTTCTTTCTGGATCTCCATGGCTAGTTGTTCTTTTGGCCTTGATTTTTGTTCATACAGTCTGTTTCTGAAGTTTATTTACTTCAGGCTTGCTGTGTACTGGGGCATCAACTTGTGTGTAGCTAAGTAAATGCAGCTACATGGGTTATGGGTGTTCAGTGATGATAAGGTTGCTCCTTTACACGAGGAGAACAGGTAAATGTTAAATGCCTTCTCAGTTCCTTCACCTGGGCTGTTGGCAGTTGCCCTTTCAGGAAAGAGGAAGATGAGATCAGCTTACCTGACCCATTTCAGAAGAACAAAGATGAGGCCTGGAGGCAGATATCCTCTCTACGGTGCTTGCTTTGTTCTGCCTCTCCACAGCAGATCTCTTCCTTTTCCCTACCGGTGCCTCCCACTTTCATTTATTATTTTTCCTAGACTAAAGTTGCTTGTTCTGTATCTCGACACAGCAGAGTTACTGCACAAACCACTTCTGGGTTTGTACCAGTTCCAAAATAACTTTGCCCTTGGTGTTCCGTAGCAAGTTTGCCCAAATGCACCGTGAAATCCAGGAGAGAAGAAAGCTGTAAACCAAGCTGTATGTCTCATGCAGTGACAAAGATCACAAATTTTCTTCTGACTCATTCATCCAACTGTTGACATGGCTTAAAAAAGCCTGAAGTGGCAGCCCTGAATCAGAGTACAGCTGCACTTAAAATGTACTCGACTGACTTGACTCTTGACCCTTAGACTCTGGCTGCATGCAGTACAACTGCTGTAGTTTGTTCCCATAGTCACTGTTTAATTAACTATTAAGTGTGATTGCTGTTGTGTGGTGGTTTTGGTGTTTTTTTGTTTTGTTTTTTTTTTAATTCTTGTGATAATTTTCAGTTATACAGTAAGCAAAGCTTGACATTTGCATAAGCTTTAGAGCAGCCTTTAGTAATTACTAGTTACTTTGGCAAGGATAAACTTTCAGCAGTGGCTTTAGTCTCCTTGCTTCCCACTCCTGTATATACTGAAAGCATGCAGTGCTGCCAGAGCTGTGAAGATTCTGCCCAGGAAGAAACCAGTGAACTGTACTGTCCAACCCGAGGTCAATGCAGATACTGAATTACAAAAGAAAAGGCTTGTGTGCCTTCTCAGTCCATTTTTTATAGCACAGTTCAAGGCTGTCTGGAAGACACCTGTACACACATGGGTTCCCCCACCCCTTTTCATGCTTGAAGTATTCCAGGACTGCATAAACAACATGAATCAATGTGCCTTACAGCACATGGAACTTCATATGGGATAACGGGGTTTTGTTAAACAGCAGCTCCTCGCAGTTCTAATGCAGGGATCCCTGAGGAGTCTGGCAGCTAGTTCTGCATGAAGCCTCCTGGCATGGGCATTCACTTTCACAGGTATTAACCTGCCCAAACTGCTTCTGTCATTTGAAGTCAAAAACCTGCTGTTTAATCTTGTAGGTAGTTTTAGATTAAATTTACATTCGTTTCTTACCTGGTTGCATTTGCTCAGACAGAAGCATACACGGGCTCCAGATGTGTCCTCCGAGATATGTGGCTAAGGTGAACCTGTGCGTGGCAGAGGCCAGCCAGGTGCTGCCTCCACCGAGTGACAATGCAAATCTGGGTGCTGTCTCTTAATGGAAGTAGAAACTGTGCATACTTCGAGGATAGAGGGTGCAGTTTCATGCAGTGGCCACACTGATCTGATTGCTGCTGCTACACAAGTGCACAGGCTTTGCACTGTTGCTTTTCTGAGCTGTTAGGAAGAACTGGCTTGGCAGAAAACTTATTAATGTGTTTTAATTTGTACAGAATGAGTCTTCTGTCAGCCTGACTCCCCGAGTTGGTTTGTTACAGGGTGTTAGGTGCCTGAGCATGTAGGATTGTCCTTTCAGCTCCTGGCTGGCTGATAGTTGGGCTGTAACAGGAAACCCTGAGACAGAAACTAAAACCAGGGTCAGCCTTCAGCTACTAAGAGCTTCATCAAACACAGTTCTACTTACATAGGAAGGTGTTGCTGGATTCTGGTTTTCTCCAGGTTCTTGTCCAAAATGCTCTTGGGGTGGAATGTGCCAACAGGTTTCTCCCTGCTGCTCCCAGCTGTTCTCAAACTGGAGTGGAGAAGACTTTCATTAAATCCAAGTCCCAAGTTTGTGTTTCTTTCCAGATGTTGATGACGTGTGTGCAAGAGAACTGCTGACCTCAGAGTCTGCAGAGTGCATGGATCTGTGTGGCTTGAGTATCACCTTGCCTTGCTCCCCTGCTAACGATGCTGTCTGCCTGTACAGTTCCTGAGGGTGACGAAGCAGTACCTGCCCCACGTGGCCCGCCTATGCCTGATCAGCACCTTCCTGGAGGATGGCATCCGCATGTGGTTCCAGTGGAGCGAACAGAGGGATTACATTGATGGCACATGGAACTGTGGCTATTTCCTGGCCTCCATCTTTGTGTTCGTAAATCTCTTTGGACAGCTAAGTAAGTGGCTCTAAGGCTGTTAAGGTGGATGCCAGAGCACTCTGGTGTGTCTGCCACCCTGGCTTGTGTAAACACTGTGAATCATGTAAGCACGGGATGCCTCACTGACTTCTTAATAGCCACTGAAAACTTAGAACTGATAGTACCACATGGGCTGAATGAAAAGAACTCAATTGACCTGCTTCAGCATTTCCTGGAAGTGATCTTGGAGAATTTCTTCTGACACACTACCTCTCAGTCAGAGATGCCAAGAATCCACTAGGACAATCTGTTTTCAATTCTGTACATAGAATCATAGAACAGTTAGGGTTGGAAAGGACCTTAAGATCATCTAGTTCCAACCCCCCTGCCATGAGCAGGGACACCACACACTAAACTATGTCGCCCAAGGCACATGCCTCTCTAAACACCCCCCCCTGAATTCGCTAAATGAAATACTCCTATTTCTTAAACAGGGCAGTGTTAAGGCTTTCCTGGAGTCCTGCCTGTAGGAGTATTGATCTCAGTGGCAGTCCTGTCCTGCAGGTGGTGTGCTTAGGCCTGAGACTGGCTTGCGTTGGACGCTTTTCAAAGCCCAGGAATAAAAATAAGCCAAGAAGCAGAGCTCCTGTGAGTGTGCTGGTGGGCCTAGAGTGTCAGAAACGGAGAGAAGTCAAATTCTTTGCTCTTCATATTGTGTCCCTTGATTGCTCTGCCAATTCCTTGTCTTGTGTCTGGGTTTAAATTATTTTTTACCTCATATTTTTGTGTAATAAATCTGCTTAATTGAATGCAGTTACCAGTCCTCATGTCAAAGTAGCAGTGGTTGTCAGTGCTTTGTGATGAAGACTTGAGGAAGGTTATAAACCAAAAGCTTTAAAGGAAAAGGAGCACTGCATGTTTGCCCTCACACTTCTCTCTTTCACCAAAAAATAAAAGAAGAAACCTGTAGTTAGTTGAATTCCTTTTTAATTTCTTGTAATGCTTCAACACTGATGGCAGCTGTGCAGTGCTGTGTTGGGGGCTGCATTCAGCACGTGCTTACCCTTTGTAAAATAAAAGATATATCTGTAGTTAGAATACATTTTAAAATGCACTAAGACTTCCAGGTTCTCAAAGTGATTTGTGCCAGTGAAATTTCCTGCCTGATGTTCTTTGTGGCACAGTGGGAAGAAACCAGTGTCTGCTCAGTTCAGAACAAGTTAGCATTCCTGCAGCATCTTTTCCTGTGCAAGCCAGAAGTGTAACTGTGTTCAATTTCCCCAACTCAGGCGGCTGCATCCTGGTGCTGAGTAGGAACTTTGTGCAATATGCCTGCTTTGGACTGTTTGGAATTATAGCATTACAGGTAGGAGGCTTGAGTCTTCAGCCCTTCTAAATCGTGTCTTTCAAATCCTCTCACTTAGCCTCAGTACGACCAACATACTTAAATACAACTTGCAGCCCTGGAATTCTTCACCCTGGCCTAGTACCAGTCCTCGATGGCACTGAACTGTTTTGCTGCTCCTGACGTGCCCAGTAGATGCTGAGCTGTAATTCAGCTAGCTGGAGACATTGAATCAATACTTGACCAATTTAGCAGAAGTAACTTGTGCTTTACCTGTATGTCAGTAAAGTGCCAAATGTGGAACTTGCAGTTGCTTTGCCTTCAGCACACAGCTGTTATAAAAGATCCCAGCTAGCAGCATCCTTCCTGTTCAAAGCCAATGAATTTGGGGTGGGGAGGCTACAGCGTAAGTCAGTCCTGGCTTCTGTTCCCTGTTATACGCTGGCTGACTGGACCATACTGATGTAACCTACCTTGTTTCCTTCAGTATAACATGCTTGTAACTGACTTCTGCTATGGATAGCACAGGCTTGAGACTGTAACATAAATTCAGAATGTCAGTGCAGTTTATATGGTGTTTTAACCTGGTTTTTTTTTTTCCCTTTGCCTAGACTATTGCATACAGCATTCTATGGGACCTGAAGTTCTTGATGAGGTATGCCTGCTTCCTAGAGTTCATCAGAACAGAACCAAAACTGTTGTCTATCACTGACAGAGGAAATGATCTCTGTACATAGTATTTACTAGAAATACACTAGAAGTATTTGCAAATAATGCATTTTCATTAAACAAGAAATGTCAGCACTTAAAAAATCAGTAGAGTCTGTGTTAAGCCAGTATTGTAGAAGGCAAAAGACTAATCCTAGCCCTCTAGGATCTAAGTGCTTCTGCTACTCACCTTGCTGAGCACTCAAAAGCAACTGTCTAGACTGGATCAGTGAGCTGCTGTTATTTCCTAAATGGCTAAAATAGCAACTGTGCTTATGCATGACTGAAGCCATTTTCTGGGATAGCTAAACCATATAGATGCTAGAATGGTTTCTGGGATTTTAAACCTCTAACACCTTCTTGAAGTACAAGACGGGGTTCTTAAACATGTGCTTTCTTGCCAAATCCTGAGTAATGGCTGGCTGTTACCTTTTCACCCCTCTCCTTTGAGGGTGGGGGGAGGGGGCAGCACAAGAACTATACTCTGGGCTTACTACAACCCTGTAAATGTGTAACTTTTAGCAGTACTGCTATTCTGTTTTCTCAAAGCAACCTCTGAACTACTCTGGCATGTGTGGTTAAACCTGAGGAACAGAATAACTTCAATGCAACTAAGTCCATGCTGTGACAGATGCTAAGCAACTGTGCCCGAGCTGAGGGTGCTGGACTTCCCTGGCAGACTGTACATGTCTGCACAGGCATGGGGAAATCCTTGGGCACAATGCTGCTGTGTCAGCTCTGGAGCCTGATGCAGACACATACTGCATGGGGAGGAGCAGGTCACTCCTCCTTAGTGTGCAGATTCTTACTGAGTTTAAACTGTTGGATAAAACTTTAAATCAGTAGAGCAGTGCAAAGTGTAGTAAACTGCCTTTGGGTTTTTTCCCCTGTCTTTCTGTAGGAACCTGGCCCTTGGGGGAGGTTTGCTGCTGCTTTTGGCCGAGTCACGTTCAGAGGGGAAAAGCATGTTTGCTGGTGTCCCCACCATGCGGGAAAGCTCCCCAAAGCAGTACATGCAGCTGGGGGGCCGTGTGCTGCTGGTCCTCATGTTCATGACACTGCTACATTTTGATATGAACTTCTTTTCTGTAAGTATCTGAGTATAAAAGTATGAGTTAAGGAATGAGAATATAGTACCAGCTCCCTGATCAGCTGCAGCACCTGCTCAGTGCTTATCATTTAACTTTATCTTTTAGTCGAATTAATATGTAGAAAAAGTTACTAGATCATCTGTGCCATGACAACCTGTTCTGTTGAACTTGTCCATGCTCTGTTCTGATGCTTGTGTATCTATTTAAGAGCCATATGTAAGCTTGTGGGGTTTTTTATTTGCAGATTCTGCAGAACATTGTGGGTACAGCCCTGATTATCTTGGTGGCAATTGGCTTCAAGACTAAGCTGGCTGCCTTGACTCTAGTCATCTGGCTGTTTGGCATCAATATCTACTTCAATGCCTTCTGGACCGTCCCAGCCTACAAGCCCATGCACGACTTCCTCAAATACGATTTCTTCCAGACTATGTCTGTAATTGGAGGGCTCCTCCTTGTGGTTGCACTGGGTCCTGGCGGAGTCTCCATGGATGAGAAGAAAAAAGAGTGGTAACAGGAATAGCAACACTTCTTGGGACATAACGTATTAAGTCCAGAACTGATTCTTTATGGATTCAACAAAAACTGCCAGCATTTTACACGTACATGCCCCCTTCCTATTAAAGGCACAGATGTTCTGAATTTGATTTACAGTGGCACCAGTAATGTAATAGACAAAATCCTATTTCTTGAAGAAAAGTTGCCTAGGCTTATTCTAACTTCCTAGATTTGGAACTAACCCAAGGAACCTGCATTTTGCTGATGCTTCAGTGAGTTGCAGTAGAACAGTAGTTGCTGTCTTTAATGTCAGCAATGTTTTGAAATTTGAAGTACTGTGAGCAGATACAGCTGTATCAGTGTGTGCTGTTGGGTTCTAGCTATAACTAAAAAAGTGGCTCCTGTTTCTCACCCTCATTAAAACTGTCTTGTGCACGAGGAGTTCCCTTGCTGATCATAGCATTTCTTACAAACATGGAAAGCAGCATCAAGAAAAGTCACTGTTTATTCTGCTGCTCAGAGGCCTGTAATTCTATTTTGTTTAACAGGGGAGGTATTTCCTACCCCCAAATAGAACGTAAAAAGAAAACCCTGAAAGTAGTTGTACCCCCTCTAGGTAAGAAAAGGGAGGGGGTCTTCTAACATGTCCCAGTTCCCCTCTCGAGTGGAACAAGGGATAATCTTTTATTGCTAATCAGGAGTCCTGTTTTGCTAATCACATTTCAAGAAGCAGGGGGGGAAATATTCCTGAAGAGACAGAATGTCAGATTCTGTGAGAATTCTGTGCCAAAAGAACTCTTTTTTTTTTTCAGCATTCTTTCCCCCAAGTTTCCTCCTGAGTTCCCAAGAAGAGAGCCAAGTTGTGCTGCAGGTTCCAAAACAGAAGCTCCTTTCTGCTATTAAACAGCTTCCATCCATGTATGCCCTAAATTCCTACCTGAATTGCAGGTTATTGGTGAAAGAGTCTCTAGAACTACAGACCTCCCCTTTTGCCTGCACTCGGTGCAGGTGAGATGGGAGCAGTCAATCTTCTCATCTGTAGGATTTGCTTCTCGGGTTCGCTCCTGCCAGTACCTGCTGCGCCAGTCCCCGTGAGGGCGAGGGGCTGGTTGAGGGCAGCCCCTACTCTGCCCCATAGTGGCTCACCCCAGGCCGTGCAGGGAGGACACCCCATGTCAGTTCTGTGCTGCCAGAGCCCCAGTTCTCAGCCCTGAATTCAACGGTTAGAGCTGAAGAATGCAAGTGCAAACCCATGCAGCGAATGAGCAGCTGGGGATGTAACTTGTGTGTTCAGAGGGAGGAACTCCTCAGTGTAATGGTGGGGGGAAGACCTCATTTCCACCTTTCAGTGCCACAACCTCTGTGCCATGAACATGCTTAGTGCTGCTCAGAGGAGGCCTTTTGTCCTCTGCCAGTCAGCTAGGTAAGCCTGTTTCAGTAGATCATGAAAGAATTCTAGAAAGCATGAGCCCTACCAACTTGCTAATATTACATTGATTCCTTGCACTGTCGTCTCCCTTGAGAAAGCTGCTCAACTGTTTGTTCAAGGAGTCATTCAGCTGAATGGCTTCAGCAGCAGCTTATTTACCAAGGTCTCCTGGTAAGGACACTAACCTGGACACTTCAGCTTAATGGTTGCTTTTTAGGAGAGAAAACTAGTCTGAACAAACTGATGACAAATAGAAGAGCACTGATGGATGTTAAATGAATGATTGCATCATCTTAAAGGGAAAATGGCCAATGTAATAGCAAGATGTGCTGCTGCTGAAGGAAAGGAATCAGTTGCAGGGTACGTGGGAGGGGAAGCCAGCAGTTCGAGTTGGGTCATGTAGAAAGTTTTCTTTTTATATAGGTTTTGCAAGAGAAGTTTTTTACCTCAAGTGTTCACTGTGTCCGTCTCTTCATAGCAAAACCAGTCTTTCCAGTTACAGGTAGGCAGCACAGGTGCTTTTGCTCTGTTTCACTGCAGGTCTTGTAACGGTTTTAGACTACATCGAGGCATCCAATCTCAGATACCTTAACTGCTGGTGGTGTTCATAGTATTTATAAATGGAATGATAGAAACTATTCCTGTAAGTAGCCCTTAAGCTGGCTTTCTCAACTTGTGTCCTGCCTAAGGAGCTGGATGACAGCCTAGTCTGAAATGCTGACTGACCAGTTTCCTCTGTGAAAATCAAGTCCCTTTTCCAACAAAAGACCCCAGAAAAGGAACCAATACTGTCCCCCTTGCAGCAGAAATACGTTGGTACTAAAGGGGCATGGTCAGGAGGAGGGCATTAAGGGTATTTCCAGGCAGCACAATATGCAGACTTACTGACTGTGAGTCCTGATACAGAAGATTCTGGTTTCCTACCTATGCTGCTGTATTTGTGCATCTCCCAAAACTCCCATGACCTCTCCCCGTGGCTGAGCAGCTCTCACAAGCAGGATATCAGCTCTCAATTGGCTCTGCAAAGTGTTCTGGAATTCATTCTGAATATATTTTTGCTTTCTATGTGGAAAAAAGAAATAAGTATAAATTCTCATTTTATGCTGTATTTTGTACCTTAGTTGTGTTTGAAAATGTTTTGATTTTTGGAAACAATCAAAATAAAACAATGGCATCTTTGTATCCACCTCGAGTGTGTGACTGGTGCCACCCCCCAGGCAGGCTGCTGGTTACTGCTCCTGTGCCACCTACTGACAGCCATCTCCCTGAGGAAGTGTCCCGAGCAGGGGGGCAGCTTCAGGCTCTTAACTTCTACCCCATTCATTCTACCCCACTGCTCCCCTCCTCAGCTGTAACAGGGAACAGCACCCCCTAGAATTGTTACACAAGAGGCTTCAGACCACTCTATTTATCACAAAGTTTATTTGCCATTGGTTGCTTTCTTCAAGTTCTTGGGGTTTCCATGATGACTCTTGAATTTCTTCTTTAAAGGGCCTGACTGTTTCTGTAGAGAAAAAGAAATTAATCAGCTGATTTCCAAACCCCCAAGACAGCTTAAAGAGAAACTGTGTTTTCCTTCACCAGGTGAGAGAGCAGCAGAGATCTTTCCCTGCCCCTACCCTGCAAGTTTGTGTCCCTTTCCCTGACAGGCCTCTGGTTTCATTAGATACACTGGGTAGCAATGAACCCAAACTTCACCCAGCCTCAATTCTCCAATTTGATATAAAGGATCTAGCCCCTTCCTCAGAGCCTGCCTTGGAGAGTTAAAGGTTTGCCTATCTTTATGTAGGGAACATCTGCCTCCTTCCCAATCTGAGAAAGAATATTCTTGTAAGGCAAGACCTGACCAGCTCCTGAAGAGGCAGAAAAAGGGCTTAGAAGGACCCTGTGCCTTCAAAGGGTTTAATTTGTGTTTGTGTGTGTCCGGGGACATGCTTCAGTCTCCTCCTTAGGCCGGTGTGCAGCAGGATCCTGTCAATGGCCTCTTTGTACAGGCAGGAACAATCCTAGTGACCGCAGACAGGGTGAATTGCTGGTGGCAATTCACAACTCGGGACGCAGGCAGGGGCTGGCATGTGGGGAAAAGCCATTCTGAGAAGCTCTGCACCTTCTGCTGGTCCTCAGACAGGAACAGATCAAACACTACAGGATGGGATCCCAGCTCCACGCTCCCCTACTGCTGCATGCAGCATGACTCCCACCTTGCCCCGTTTGGTGCCACCGGCTCTGCTGACATCTGTTCTTCCACCATCCTCTCTGTTGCTGTCACCATTCTGCTTGGTCCCATCATCCTCACTGCCTGCTGCAAAGTCATCACTGCCCTTTGTGGTCTGTGGAGCTGCTGGGCTTTTTCCCGGAAATAGT